CAGAAAAGCTGCTGTCATTAGTTCTGAAACACACATGAAACCACGAGGAATAGTAAGATGGTATTGATGCTGCAACTTTTTTATCCCTTTCTCAACAAATCTGCCCTTTCTGCCACACACAGTACTTCCCCGACAAAGTTCCTACGTACTGCAGCAAGAAAACACCTTAACAACCTAGTCACTTGAAAATTGTTGTTGTTCTTATTGTTCCAGCAGAACAGCAATGTGATTCAGGGTCCAATTTCCATTGTTACTGAGCTTCTTCCCTTTACATTTCAGTTATATACTTACAGCAAAATCATTACCCTAGAGCAAGCTCCAAGCGCAAACTATGAAATTGTTTAATTTGCATATGAGCTAAACAAAAAGCATTTTGATAAAAGCCTAATGAGTTCAGAAAGTGGTAACTGATTATAAACTGGAAAAAAGTTTAGAGAGCAAATGGCTGTAGCCACTCTACAATTTGCAGGTTTACCATAGAAATCTAGATTCTAAATAAGGCAGCACTTACAAGAAAACTTAACCAAACAGGTCTACTGTTTATCTCCAACATTATTCTAACTCACAAAAAAAAGTAATGAAAATGAAAGAAATCTAAATCCAAATATATTCCCAATATATTTTATTGCTACATGCTTTTTAAAGACTCAAAAAACCTACTTTACAAACTTTAAAATTGGTCATCTGGCTCCCATTTGTACTGACTCCGAAAAACAGATAATAAGGAAAAGGATGGGGGGGAAGAAATGCATTAGAAATGCAGAAAACTGCTGCTTGTAGTTCAGATGAAACTCTACACCTAGACAGTGTTTACTAAATTATCTACAGAATTGACACAGAACTTTACTCAAAACAAGTATTTATTGTGAAACCAATTTTTCAATAAATTACATCACAAGTCATTCAATGAAGCATTTAGACATTAATTACTTGTCTGAAAATCTCAACACAAACACACACAATTCTAAAAAGTATTTTTTGTTTCTACAACTCTTCAGACTGAAAAGTTTCCATTTCGTACTTCGGTGAAACTTCTCTAAAACATATACAACTCGTAATGAAACATTTTATTACTCATAAAACTTGGCTAATACGGTAAAAGTATATTTTGGCTCTACCCCTGTCTCAGTCAGAAAGCAGCTGCTTTGTCTCTTAGCTAAGCCATTAAACAAAATGGATAACACATGCCTTGTTATAATCTCTCTATAAAGAGCAAATCAGCACAAAGCAGAAGGCTACCATTTTAACAAGTAATATCTAAAGTAGGATGAACCAGACAGACTTAACCATTTACAAACGTTACTCAAAGTACAACCCCCCTGCTCCAGGATATTACCTCTTACCCTAGGGAAA